GCAAGTGTTCTACGTCAAAACAGATAGAAGAAGATGCAACCTAGAATGGATAGACAAGTGAAAATAGTTATTTCAAATTCGGTGCTGAAGAAGCACAAGAAGAATGAGGAGTGGGCTTTGGCGGAGAAGAAGGGAGAAGCAAGTTCATCTGCAAGAAAAACTCTCGTATGTTCCTGCTCCATAAAAATGACCTTCTGCCCTAGAAATCAAGCAGAAGTTCCCCTATCCTCTTCTTACTTTCATTTTTTTTTAAAAAGGCTTTCAGATAATCGATTATTTGTCTTTGTAAAATCAGTTTGAAAACCCTATCTGCACTAAATAATCAATTATTTTCAGAATAATCGATTATTCCAAAGATTAACTCTTTCTAACCTTCCTAGATAATCGATTATTTGCCAAATAATTGATTATTCTAAAGACTTCTAGAATTCAAATACTTCCCAGATAATCGATTATTTGTAGAATAATCGATTATTTGCCTCATCTTACTTAAAATAATCGATTAAATTTTACAATAATCGATTATTTTAGAAAAGTTTGGTTTCACTATTTTAAACCTTATAAAACTTTCCTCATCCATTTCAACTCTTAAAAACACTCTTTTATAAACCACACTTCAATGTTTTATACACATATCAATCAAGTTTTATTCAAGCAATCACACTCAAGTGCACATTCACAATCAATTCAAACAAGACTAATTGATAATTCAAATTTCAATTCTCAATTGATTAAATCTTTCTTTTAGTAGAGGTTTTGTAAATATATCAGCTAATTATTTATTTGTTTCAACAAACTCTACTATACAATCATTTTTTTGGACATGATCTCTTAAAAAATGATGTCTTATTTCTATATGCTTTGTCCTAGAGTGTAAGATTGGATTTTTTGTGAGATTGATTGCACTTGTGTTATCATATCTTAAAGGAATTTTGTTCAATTCAGTTCCATAATATTTTAGTTGTTGTTTCATCCAGAGGATTTGTGCACAACAGCTGCCAGCAGCTATGTATTCAGCCTCAATTGTACTTAAAGCAACACATGCTTGCTTTTTGTTATGCCATGAGACAAGTGCACTTCCAAGTAGGTGACAAGTACCACTTGTACTCTTCCTATCAAGTCTACACCCAGCATAGTCTGAATCTAAATATCCTATCAGACTTAGTGAGACTCCTTTTGGATACCATAGTCCTACATCTGTTGCTCCTCTTAGATATTTAAGAATTCTTTTAACAGATTTCAGATGAGACTTTTTTGGATTTTCCTTAAATATTGCACACAAGCACACAACAAACATTATATTAGGTCTACTAGCTGTCAAATATAAAAGTGATCCAATAATACCTCTGTATTTTGAGTTGTCAACAGTTGTCCTTTTCTCATCCAAGTCAAGATTGCATGAGTTTGATATTGGTGTTGCATCCTCCTTACACCCTTCCATACCAAACTTTTTTAATAGTTCATTGCAATACTTGCTTTGACTTATAAAGATTCCATCACTCATTTGCTTAATTTGTAACCCCAAGAAAAATGTAAGTTCTCCCATAATGGACATCTCAAATTCACCTTGCATGGTCTTAGCAAATTCTTTACATAGAGATAGATTAGTGCCCCAAGAGGAGGAGATTTCCCCCCTGAAGGTTAATCGAAAAAGAAAGAGGGGCGAGAAAGAGGTTGGGGGGACCTCCTCCCCTCGTGGCATGGAGGAGGTGACCTCCAAGGCTGTCCTAAATTTTTTTTTCAAGTTCCGCCACTGACCACAAATAACTTTATTGATTCAATGCAACAAAATATGTTAAACTACATACAACACAAAAAAGGAAACAACTCACGCAAAAGTATCTAGTCACCATGAAAAACGATGATCTTGATTGAAAGGTTAAAAAATGTATTCATGGGGTTTTTGATTTTTGTTAATTGCTAAATGCATATATTTGCATTTGAATTTCAATAAGCATCACCTTGACACTAGCCTAATTGATTGTTCCTGCAATAAAGATCACACTATTGGAACCTATGAGAAAAAATAAAATTGTAGATTCCTCTTATAACAAAAACTTGAGACTCTTTAATGCAAGATAGAGAAGGGAGAACGTGAAAGAGTGAGAGAAGCGAAACTTACATGAGAATGACTACCGTAAAACTCTTTTAATTTTGTTTTAAATCTAAATTAAAATGACATGATTATTCAATTGACATGAAATTCAAAGATTGGTGGAACAAGAAATTGGGACAAAATTAGGAGATAGAGGATTTACATCCCCCTTTGAACTCTTGGGTTGAAAAGTGTACAAGTTTCAAAGAAAGAAAGGAAAAGGAGGAGAAAGGAGGTAACAAAAAAAAGCATCAATATTAAGATTATTATTATTATTGTTGTTGTTGATGATGATGGTAAGACTCGAAAACTTGGTGCTTGGAGTGAGATTAAATAGTAGTTGAGTAAAGAATATAATGGATAAGAAATGAAGGAAAATACATAAGAAAAATGTTACAATAGTGGTGACAATCCATAAATTATATATTTCAATCACTATATTTCTTTTTGTTTTTTGTAACTAGAGCCTATGTTAAGAGAGTCTTGTTTAAGACAACAAAAAATTAGACATAGTCCCAACCTCATGAGCTCTTTACATTGTTCAATGAAAAGTAACAAGTAGCTCTTCAGTATTAGGCGCCTTCCTTGCAAAATATTTTAACATGGAATGATGTCATGTCAAGGTTGCATGTATTATTATTATTATTATTATTATTATTATTTTTTTTTTAAATCTTTGACATCAATAATGCCTCACATTGAGATGCCTTATAAACAAAGATGCAATGTGACAATTCTTTTTTTTATTTCTCTCATCAATGATATGCCTTGTATAAATATTTTAAGGAGCTAATATAATTAAACAAAATACTTAAACATATTGATAATGTTATTCATAAACAAATTACACATACTTGTTTAAAAAAACTTAACGACTGGGAGGTGGGGGAATCCCATGCTCCTACTACTACCCCCAAGTAGTTTTGCAGTAAGGACTACCTGTCAGGGATGAATTGAGATCTTTTTTATTCCTTTCTCTTCATTTTTTTTTGTCTATTTTCTATAGCTTTGAGTGTATAAATAACATTGAATGTTAATCACTTTTTTACATTCAAAATTATATAAATGATCAAGAAATGAAGAGGATCCAAATTCATTAGGGATATTTTGTAATTTATTAAGGTATATATATATTTTTTAAGAAAGATATAATATTTTATCGTATATCGAGTATTTCACATATATTTTTATATTAGTATAATATTGTTCATTTTATCCTTTCACCCTCATGATTTTACTTTGGTCATCACTCAAAATATCTCTTACCAATAAAATATATATGTATTTTATAAATATTTATTTATCTTTTATTTTAATAACGTGAAACTTGATTATATCTTAATATTATCGTACTATTTAAATAAAATTATCTATATATTAATAAAGATGATTCACATTATTTTAATTAAATTCATGTGCATATTTTGATTGAACTATTTTGTCATTTTTATTATAATTATCCACCTCTCTTTTTTATCATTGAATTATTCATTTTTTTAATCATAACTTTTTCTTTTCTCTCACATTTATTTTATTTTTAATTTAAATAAAATACATAAAAGTACACTATACCTCTTTCTCACCATCTAGTTTTCCCACAATATTATTAGTCTCATAAAAAAAAATAGAGAGAATTTTAAACAAAGACATTATCATATTTTAACCAATGGAGAGTGAAATACCGCTGGTGTAGCAAATAATTCCCCTAAAATATATCAAATATTATGTTCTAGAAAACAAATGCCTCGAAGAAGTTTATATAGCAAAATTCTTTTATGTAATTCAATTTAAAGAAATCAAATAAAGTGTGAAATTGAGAAAACAATTCAAGGTATAGAGTACGATTTTTATTTCCACGGAGCATAAATATCTTTCACTATCCAAACAAGACCAATATAAGAAATACATGAATATAAATAAACTAAATTGAACCTAATTTAGAACATAATCCAATGAAACATAATCAGGTTAAGTTGTACTAGTTTAACTTGCTTACATAAATTGACTTACTTGTACTTTAACGTGCGACAAAATTTTTAATCTGAATATTTCATACTCAAAATTTGACATTCATTATCACTATTAAATTGAAATAATTTCACACTGTGTAAACTTCCTTTTTTGGAACGCACCAAAAATCGTGAGAGGACAGAGCAGGTGCCATCAAGTAACAATTTCATTATGTTTGCCAAGTTCATAGACAAAGCATCCCATCCCATTCTTTACCAAAATAATATACAAAATTAAACTTATCATGGAGAGGAAAAAAAAAGGCGAATTGGAACGATCCCTCTACATCAAGTACGTCGCTATCTTTTTAGCTTTAAAGCTGAAAGGAATATGCTACCTACAGTGTCCAGTGTACTACATGCGAAATAAAAGCTATTAAATTCATATATCATAAAAAGTATACAACAACAGAATCATATACTTTTTATCATTATTGTTGTGTATGATAGTATAATCGTTAATTTTTTTTATAACAACTACTATAAAAAATCATATCTTTAAGATGATTTTTTATTAGTTAATATATAGTATAAAAATCTTTAGATAGTGCTCAGAAGTTAAACTTGTTAGTATCTCATTGTTGCACATACTTTATACTTTATTTTAACGAATAAAAAATGTTTACCGCTTTTAGCATTACTTGACTAGTTGGTCCATTAATATAGGATTTTCCACTCATGTAAACATGTGCCAATATAAATTTTTTTTCCTGCCACTAATATTCCAATCTTATTAGGTTAGAACTTAATCTCGCATATAATAATAATGTGATTACAAGAAGAAGATCAACTGATTTGATAAGATTTTATATATAAATGATGAAAATCATACACGAACTCTCCTCTCAATAGATAATTTATATGATGTATGAGGACATAGTATTTTATCTTTACATCAACTCATTGAATTTGTTTACAAATAATGTAATATGATATCACATTCATGCATATGTCACCGGCTCCTCCTGTTGTAGTCCTTATTCTCAGCTTCTTGTCTACTTTCCAAGGTATTCCTAACCTGATCGTATTTATAGAATCTTTCATCAGCCTTTAGTTACTGGACTGAAGCCACTTCTCTCTCTCTCCCACACCTCTCTCTAAGCTCAAATATACATATAAAATTAGAACTCTGCAACAGGCCAAAACAACCAGCTTTTGCTCCCTCACATATTACTATATAATATATAGTTTTTATGTGCTAAGCTTTGTTGAGTGAGAGGCTAGCTATTGCAAGAGTGAAAGAAAGAGGGAGAGATGGAGGAGGTCTTTGTTGTGGCAATGAAAGTGGCTTCTTCAGTTGCTGTTGTGGGGATTCTAAGCTGGATACTCTATGTGTATGGCAATATGTGGCACAAGTCTCAAAGGGTTAGAAGGAGGCTACAAATGCAAGGTATAAAAGGGCCTCCACCTTCTTTTCTACATGGGAACCTGCCTGATATGCAGAGAATTCAAGCTCAGGTTAGCATGGCCAAATCTTCATCCTCCAACCATTCTGATCAGTTTCTGGCACATGACTACACTGCAACCCTCTTCCCCTACTTTGAACACTGGAGGAAACAATATGGTACCCTTCTCTTCCTCTTCAACTTTTGGTCTCATCATCTCATTTTCTTTTAGTAATGTTTTATGAATGTAAACAAATCTGGTACTGAGGATGTTGGACAATTGCAAATCTTCTTAAAAATTTATGCATCTTTTTATCCCATTTGAACAAATTTATCTAAAAAAGAAGAAAATAAAATAAATTGAGTTTCTTTGACCAACTTTAACTAATTTCTTACCGATGGATCTCATGAATGAATTGACACGAGATTTTTCAATTTAACCAGTGTTATATAGTTTCAATCCTGAGTATATATTTGGTTTTGATTATTAAACTCAAGTCCTTCTCTTTCCACGTCCGATTCTAAATTTAAAGAGAAGTGATTATTTTCTACTTCAGCTGAAACGTGAAAAATCACGTCTTCACAGCTCTTACAAACACGCTATTAAAAAGAAGATTTTGTCATTTACAGTAACTCTACCAGCTCATCAAAAAGGATACCTGTAATGTTGAAACAGAAAAAGAAATTAAAACCAATTTATGGACTTAACTTTTACAAAAACATTTTCAACTAAATTCTTTAAAGATTGTGATTTATAAATTAATTTTAATTTACTGGTTATTTTACCTTCTTATTTTATAAGTATATACGGAAAAAAATTCATCAAACAAGTCATATTAATATTGTAAAGTATGGTGTAGAAAACTATGGGCATACCAAATAGTTTCAGGTTTTGGCAATGATGAAGTTTTAAGATAAGTTAGTTACTTTTGCCGAAAGTCTACCTAAGTGCGTATGTCCCTAACTGTGCAACTCTATTGGAGCACTAATTTTAAGAAGACTTGGTGGTGGGTATCACGTTTTTGTAGTTTTTACCATGTTTTCTTCTTCAGTTGTGAGCCCATGTCTTTGGGGCAAAAAGCCCTGTGTTTATGCATTTGGTGGTACCGAATTGATTGAGTTTTAGACATGACAGTAGTCTTTTTGAACATTCCTTGTTCGTCTTTATCGTGTGATAGTTTGCAAGTTGGAGAATTGGGATTGGGTTGGCAGAGAAAAAACAGTGATTTTTCTAAAGCAAACATGATCTTGACACTTTAAAAAGCTAATAATACATGATGGACAAAAAAAGAAGGAACAAATCCTTTGCTATCTTCTTTTTAAGTAATTAACCATTATGATTAAACTTTTTTAGATTTTCTTAATTAATCTACACAATATTTTGGAATCTTTAGTTTGAAACTGATGGTTATTTATGATTTCAATTGTTATATGCTTCCTTATTTGACCATTTGTACTTCGGAACCAAAAAAAAAAACAGGGGTTTCCACATTTGTTCCTCAATTATTATATCCTTCCACATTTTGTTACTGAAATTGGATTGAAATTAGAGAAATTAAAAATTAATAAATTTTTGGAATTGCTACTGAGAAGCTTTCTCCCCCCTCCCCCCTCCCCTCTCTCTCTTAACGTGTCCAAAATCATTATTATTCCCCTATAAAACAAAACACTTGTACAAAAACCTTTATTTCTAGGTGTACATAACAACTCTCTTGAAATTTTATTTTTAAGGTTTATATGCAATTCAATGCAAAAGGAAAAAGATAAGAAAAGGAACTAACAAATAAAATAGATGAGAAGGTTGACCAATGTGGGGTCTACTTGATACATGAGTAAGTTATCTTGTGTAGAAAGCTTGAAAATTGTTATGAGATTAAGCAGAAAATGGGCAACTTAAAAGTTGTCCAGCAAAAGTCAATCACCCTCTGTGGGTGCAGATGGTATCTTAAGTGTACGACTAAATGTTGATTTGATATACACAGCTAGTGCAAGACAGACAAATACATTTGGAGTTGTCAACTTTACAGCTGTTGTGTTTCTATTTGGGAAATCATGGGCCTATGCTTCAGGCGGGGCTGCCCTTGAACGTCGTCTAGAGCTTCCACCTCTCTGGTCCATGATCAAGAGGGGTTTAAATTTTTTTTAAAAAAAAATATATAATTGAGATTATTTTTTATATATTAATTTTAAAAATAAAATAAAACTTAAATATATTTTAAATTTCTATAAAATGAATATTTTTTATTTTTGGTCTTTATTTTTTTTTTTGTTTTTTTATCATTCTAAGTAAATATTATTTTTGATTTTTATAAAATGAATTTTGATTTTAATTCCTATAAAATCAATTTTGATTTTAATCCTTATAAAATATTTTTATTTATTTTTTATCTTCTAAAATTTAAATTTATTTTAGTCCATAATATTTATTTTTAGGTTGATAAGTAACATTTATTTTAAAAATTATAAAGACCAAAATCAAAATCCTCTCACTTTACATAAACTAAAAATATGTTTTAGCCATAAAATTGTTACTTACATATTTTTTTTAATTCTAAATATAAAATTGTGACACAATTATAAAATATTTTTTATTATTAATTTTCCAATGTATTATACTCATAAAAGAGTAAAATATGTTTTTGATCCCTATAGAATTTTTCAAGTTTGAGTTTAGTTCTTTAAAAATTTGTCCTATTTTGATTCTTCAAATTTGAAGATGCATCACTTTTGATTCTCAAAATTACTTATATAACACTTTATGATAAATTATAGCATAGAAGTAAATTGAAGAAAAAATATAGTACATATCTTTGAGATTTATTGTATAATATTATGTTATATTGTTATTTGTTTAATATAATTAAATATGTCATTTTTAAATGAATCGTGCATTTAATTTTATGTTATAAATATTTATATAATAAAATATTTATATATAAGAACTTATGCTAAAAATTTATTAGTTTGAGTAGCATTGAATCTAGTTCTCTTAGGTAAGGTATTATTATAATTAATCAAATTTTTTAATTAAGATTAGTTATTGGTAAAATCAATATATATTTTCTTACCAATATTATGATTATCAAAAAAAAAATATAAAGATACATATTTATCGTTTGGCTTAAAACTCAAAATACCTTACCTGCGGACTATATAACAACCTAAAGATTTATTCTACTCATTATCTTATTAATTGTTTTAAAATATTACTAATCAACACCCTTAATTAAAGAATTACTAATTGAGATTTTGTGAAATTACACACGCTCTTTATTATTATTATTTTTTAATACAGCTGCTTCTTTTATAAGAGGTGACTTTATAATGACTTTCACTTGATAAAAAAAGTTAATGTAATAATTAAGAATTATCGGTGTAATGTTACTTCTGTTACTATACCCGTTATTTTATCTCATGTTTTTCTATTTTACTTTCTTTATTAAAAAATTAATTATACAAACATATGCACATACAATTTTTCATAAGTTAATAACTACCAATTGAGTTATCTAATATTGGATAACTGGACTAACATCAAGTCTATCTATATCATTGTTAAATGATCAAAATTTCTACTAGGCGACATGAATTTATGTTGTGCTAACTATAATGTGATCTTGTCTTGCAGGTCTACTGTACACTTACTCCACAGGGATGAAGCAACACCTATATGTGAACCAACCGGATCTAGTGAGAGAAATGAATCAATGTATCACTTTGGATTTGGGTAAGCCTACTTACATAACCAACAAACTTGCACCAATGCTTGGCAATGGCATTTTGAGAGCCAACGGCCAAAGTTGGGCACAACAAAGGAAACTTGTTGCAGCTGAGTTCTTCATGGACAAAGTTAAGGTATACATAAGTTTGTAACTACCCCAATCCCTTGCCTATTTACTACTTTTATTTTGTTTCATTTTTTTATTATTATTTTCAGTTAAATTAAAGATAGAATAAATGTCCAAATGGGTTCTTATAAAAATCACTGAGATATTAATTCCTATAAAAAAAAGTGTTGTTTAATTATTATAATGTGAGACACTTTAGTTTTCTTACTTGAATTAATATTTTTAGGGATTAATTTAGGTCACTAATTAATGATTTTTGTGAAGAATTAAATTGATAGATAAATCACTTTTATGATTGAAAATAATTGGATCAAAGTATCCAGGTTTGTAATTTGGAGGGACTAAATGAATACCCTTATTTTTTACTCTTAAAAACAAAGTGTGTCATGCATTTCTTTTAAATATTTTTTTTAAACATATTATGAGTCCGAAATATCTACGAGTTTTATATTATTGACTGATTTTTATAGAGAAATTTAAATAATTATCTTTAGTGGCTCATTTTCTCTTTTACACACATATATATATTAAAACTTTTTTTTTAAAATTTTGTTCATATCAATAATACGTTATCTTTTTTTAAAACAGTTTGAACCTTTACTCTAAAGGATATTTTAACATTTGAAGTAATTAGCGTTAAAAGTATGTTATTTGTACGTCTTTGATGTAATCTTTATATTATCTTAACACTTTAAAATATGATTCATTTCCTTCAGATGAAAAAAATGATTCATTTCCAATATACATGGAAATCCTACATTTATACAGAGATTCTACATATTGGGTCAATGTAATTTAGCTTTACCATTAATTATTTAATTTTAAACTCTTAACCGTCTTTTTTTTGGTCCATTTTTTCACTTAAGCAAAATGGATCCAAGTTGTCCGTATAATTTTGCATTAATCAAATGAGAGAGGAGATTCAGAGAAAGTATTTATAAGTTCATAAAGTACATCAGAAGATTAAAGTAACTATGAACACCTTAAAATAGCAATTTAGTCATTGTCTAGGATATGTATATGTATTTGTACAAGATGTTTATAGGAAAAACATTTTTTATATAATAAAGATAATAAAATTAAAAATTAAGAACATGTGTATATTATATAATATTTTACCATTAGACTAATTTCGGTGGTTCACATTTTAAGAATTAGGAACGACAAATTTTTCATGTATGTGAATGATGATTCATAGGAATCATAATTCTTAAAAATGATAAAAATCTATTTGATTGATCACAAATATTTATGAAAATGTTTATAAATGTTACTACCTGAGAATTAAGGATGTTTACTATATTAAATAAACAAATAAAAGAACATGACGATTTCCTCACATTAAAACTTTATTTTCATTTTCCACTTCATCATGAGAAACCTATACAAAAACAATTATTGAGAAATATTGTTTCTTAGGAATGTTATTTTTTTAAATAACAAATCAAATATGAACATTCTTCATGTTAGATTCTTGAGAGTAAAATTTTTTCGTATACCAAATGTTTCCTAATACTTCTTATTATATTTTATAATTATTTATTTATTTATTTTTGTTATCAATGTAATAAATAGAAATACCACAATAATTACACGAATTAATTATTTTACTATATTTATTATAATTTGATTATATTTTTTTAAATATAATTTCTTTCTTTTAATTAATTTTTTTAATGTTACATGAATTTTATGCATTGTGTTATATTAATTTTTAACGTATAGTTGTTTATAAAATTTGGTGTACATAGCCGATATCAATATATTGATGTGTGATTTCTATGTTTACTTTCTAAAGTACACTTTTCAAGTTAACACTAGTCTAAACGATAAATATTTGCGAGCCATGCCTTTTAAGACAACAATTGTTTTGTTTTCTTTTTTCATGCAGTCCTTCTTCCACTAATTTTGCTTTGTGACATGAGATATATCTAGAAGAATATAGTAATGCAACACTTCACAATTATATGTGTGTTGTGTAGTAACTTCCATTCATATGCAGTAGCCCCACATAAAAGATTATCCATCATCTTGCATGAATCATGATTCAGAAAGATGGGTGTGCTAGTACTGCTGGTAGCAAGTGTACCTGCCCTATCGAGAAGATGAAATTAACTTATATTTCAATTATTTAGAGGGAAGTTAAAAGTGAATTATAAGATGGATAGAGATGTCCCTTCCACCCTGTTTGCTTTATAGGAAATTACCCCACCATATGAAGCTTTACTGGCCGAATAATATGTCAACAGAAAATCTATTTTTTAGTCACTAAAAATATTATAACAACGATAATAAAGATTGAGTATAAGTTTTCATTATTTATTCCAACTTCATCACTACATGGATAAGGTATTATCGAAAATCTAGGCTTTGAATAACATATGTGCATGATTAAATAAATGATCCATGAAGAAAATATGGTAGGACAGTGAATTTGAAGTGAAATTGATGACTGTGGCAGGGTATGGTGGACCTAATGATTGAGTCAGCTCAGCCACTACTAGTAAAATGGGAGCAACTTATTGAGAGTCAAGGAAGTGGCACAGCTGAAGTTAAAGTGGATGTGGATTTGAGGGGCTTCTCAGCTGATGTTATTTCAAGGGTTTGCTTTGGCCATTCTTATTCCAAAGGAAAGGAAGTCTTCTCAAAGCTTAGAAGCATACAGAAGGCCATGTCTAAACAAGGTGGCTTCCTTTTTGGCCTCAGCAGTTTCCGGTATGCCAATTCTCTGTTATTCTAAAATGTGTTTTACCTAACTCACCTCAAAATTCATTTTAGTTCTCAAAATTCATTTTAGTTCTAATAATTAAAAATAGTAATTTTGAATCTTGCATGTCTAATATGACAAAATTTATATACAGTACAATATGTATAATTGTAATTCTTCTCTAATCAAAATTAAAGTTTTATTTTAATGAGTTAATGTATATTACTCATATTTATATTAGATATAAATATATATTATTAAGATAAAATTATAATCCTGATAAAAGAGAAACATCAATCGTACTTATAATATTATACCTAAGTTTTATCCTTAAAAAATATAGTGAATATGATCTCTTGAAGTCAAAATGAAATAAAGTCATATAGCAAATCCAACCCCCTTCAAAAATACTAGAACTATCAAAACCACTATTTTTAAAATATAATAACTAAAATTAAGTTTGACCAAAAATTTGACAAAGCTAAAACTCATTTTACCTATTTAAAATTCTGCTATCTTATGGTACAACTCTTACATCCATATACGTGCATTTGCATAATTGTATGTGTGGCTCCTGAATTCAAGAGTGACACTTGAATTATACCAAAAAGCGTCATATAATGTGTGATACAAAAGTTAAATTTCTTGTAACCTCGACCGTTATTATTTTAAAAGCTCTTATAAGAATAACTGTCTTTAAAACCTTATACATTGCACATCAGAAAGTAACTAAGAATCTTGTGTTTAACTGTAGCCTAAAACTTATTGATTATTAATTAATGGCAGCGACAAACTGAATTTCTTGTCAAAGAAGCAAAACGAAATTGCAAATTTGGAGAGAGAGATAGAGTCACTGATCTGGGAGTTAGTGGAGGAACGGAAGCGTGAATGCTCAGAGACATCTTCATCAGATAAGGATTTGATGCAGTTGCTATTGGAAGCAGCCATAACTGATCAAAGTCTGGGGAAGGACTTTTCCAAGCGATTCATTGTTGATAACTGCAAAAACATTTACTTTGCTGGCCATGAAACCACTGCTGTTGCAGCCTCTTGGTGTCTAATGCTTCTTGCTTTGCACCCAGAATGGCAAACTCGTATAAGGAATGAGGTGGCTCAACTTTGCCCCAATGGCATACCAGATGCAGATTCTCTCCCTTTATTGAAAACGGTACACATGAAGTTTGATTATTAGAATGCAAATAATTAGTCTTGCATGTTATTATCATATGAAAGTTACTAGTCCTACGACTAGAACAAAATTACTTTCAGTGGAGGATACATGTGGTGTCTGTCAAAATTATCTTATGAAAATGTTCTCTCCATTGATACACACTTATAATACTCTACAAGGGGATTGGGGTTTTTCATATACAAAGTCATGTGAGAGTTTCATCTCCGGTTAGTGTGTGGAAAAATATCTATCTAAGAGAATTGGAGAACTTACATTAACTAATGATATGGCAAAAAATAATGAATATAGGTGAGAAACAATTCTCACTCTATAAGTTTAATTTAATTTTGTAAAGTTAAGTTAGGTCGATAATTCTTATTCTTTAGATAGTATTATCCCTTATCGCAATAATAATTGTTGGGCATATATTTTGTTCTACATAATTCACACTTTAGATATCTAATCTTTGGTGTGAGGAAATGTGTTAGAAATTCTATATCAATTAGTGATATAACAAAAAATAATGTATATAAGTAAAAATAATTCTCCTTATAAATCAATTTTATAAGATTAAGATAGATTTATAATTTATATTCTTTACCTTAAATGGAGTTTTGTACCTAGGGATCAGTCTCTAGCTCTCAACCAGATGATTCTTGAACATTAAGATCGTCTTTGTTGGTATTCTTTTTTATCTAATGAAAATTAAGCTGCTTGGTTTCACTTCTTTTGACAATTTATAAACCATTTTCATTCTGCTTGGATTACTGTTCATAGGTGACTATGGTGATTAAAGAAGTGCTACGTTTATACCCACCAGCAGCCTTTGTGTCAAGGGAGGCATATGAAGATATCCAAATAGGAAGCCTCAATGTTCCTAAAGGCGTGTGTCTATGGACCTTGATCCCAACACTGCACAGAGACCCTGAAATTTGGGGACCAGATGCAAATGAGTTTAAACCAGAAAGGTTCAGTGAGGGTGTCTCTAAGGCTTGCAAGTTTCCTCATGCTTATGTGCCATTTGGATTAGGTACTCGCTTATGCTTGGGAAAGAACTTTGCAATGGTTCAGTTGAAGGTTGTGCTAGCCCTTATCATCACCAAGTTTAGCTTCTCTCTGTCTCCTAGCTATAGTCACTCTCCGGCATATAGAATGATCGTAGAGCCAGGACATGGTGTATATATTCTCATTCAGAAGATTTGAATGACTCGTAGCTGATGACACGAATAACTCAGCTATAACATGCAAGCATTTAGTTTGTCTTTGATGTGTGTATGTGTACTTTAGAAATGAAACTATTATTGCCTTAGGTTATTGAAGAGTTTCTTCTTCACTTCTTCGATTCTTTTCTTTTAGACGTGTATATATATTTATATTATAGGTTAGTATGACTGGTCAAACTTTGGTTTAAAGACTAAAATTGAATTTTGAAAAGTTCAGGAACTAACAGCTTAGTTAATTCAACTTTCATATTCTATTAGGCTACTATTCTAAAAACTGTCAACAAGCATGCACAAGATTTCTTGATTAACAAGATTTCATGAAAAGACATAAATACTCTTTAATTGTGTAAATGAGATTATTATCTAACAATAATTTTCAGTTATGTTTTTGATTGAAATATATAATGAAAGTTGTTCTTACCGGAATTTGGCCGTAGGGATGGTCTGCCCAGTAAGATCAGTGAGCCTCTTTTGCTTGATGTGTTGGTGCTCCAAGATGGGGGAGGTACCTGCAAAAGAGACTCCGATGCCAAAGTTAGGGTTTGTATGAGTATGAGTCTCGTATATATAATGCACATAACTTTGTGTGAATTAGGGTTGTCTTGGGCCTGAGATAAAATATGATATGATACGATATCATATAATATGATATGATCACGTTGTGACATAATATGGTATAATTGGAGAACGGTTTTGGCCTGGGACGAGATCTCTGGGCTCGGGCATGATCTGTCCGGATTCCGGGCTAACGTTGTTCAACGCGTGCCCGAGATGACCCTTATAATGTCAACCCGGGCTGAGAGCCCAGGTGCGAAATGCGGTCAGTACACTAGCCCCCAGAGCTCCGAAGGCCGTAGGCCGAGGAGTTAAGGTCGGGCTCGGGGCCGAGCCCGTGGAGAGCTTTGATTCTGCTCAAGTCCTTCTGCAGGGGCTATGGCCATTGTGGACCACTGGAAGCATAGGTGGTCCAAGCAGCAGGAGGATCTGGTCCGACTGAGGGGCCGAGTTCAACCCCTGAGGGACGAAAACAAAGTTCTGAAGGAGGAGAACAAGGTTCTTAGTGCTGCCCTTGGTGAAGCGAAATTACAGGGTGCCAAGCTTCGAGTTGCGAGGGGGGACCTTGCGAGGGTTCAGAAGTCGCTGGAGATCGCCCTGCGCTCCAACGAGAACTATGCCTCCCAGGTGAACGAGCTGCATGAAATTGCCGCCGCACCTGACCAGTTTCTTGGAAGACGAGGTGACATCTTCCCGTGGTCGAGTTTGCTCCTTGGAGGATGAGGTGACCTCCCTGAAGAGTGATCTGGTGGTTGCGGCTGAGAAGCACCTCTGTGATGAGGTCGTCCTCGGCGGCAAAGAGGAGGAGGTTGCCGCTTTGAGAGTGGAGCTGGCAAAGCAGGAGGCAGAGAGGGCGGTGTTGGAGAAGAAGCTTGAGGAAATTGAACGATCTATTATAGTTGAGCATAAAAGAGGTTTCCTCAAGGCAGCTCGCTAGGCAAGACTCCTTGCGCCGGGATTCCCGACAGCTACGCCTGTGGCTTCTACACCGTCATCAGGTCCATCGCAAGGGGCCTCCCAGAGTCGATACATTGCTTCCTGCTTCGGGAAGGACCGCCTTGATGTGCGATTGGACCATGTGAGTGCCTCGGCTGACATGGATTTGCTATGGAGCGCGGGGGTGACCGCTGAGAAGTTCTTTCCCAAGGGTTCGCTGAGCTCGGAGGATCAGGAGATGATTGAAGGGGCCGAGCCCGTGGAGAGCTTTGATTCTGCTCAAGTCCTTCTGCAGGGGCTATGGCCATTGTGGACCACTGGAAGCATAGGTGGTCCAAGCAGCAGGAGGATCTGGTCCGACTGAGGGGCCGAGTTCAACCCCTGAGGGACGAAAACAAAGTTCTGAAGGAGGAGAACAAGGTTCTTAGTGCTGCCCTTGGTGAAGCGAAATTACAGGGTGCCAAGCTTCGAGTTGCGAGGGGGGACCTTGCGAGGGTTCAGAAGTCGCTGGAGATCGCCCTGCGCTCCAACGAGAACTATGCCTCCCAGGTGAACGAGCTGCATGAAATTGCCGCCGCACCTGACCAGTTTCTTGGAAGACGAGGTGACATCTTCCCGTGGTCGAGTTTGCTCCTTGGAGGATGAGGTGACCTCCCTGAAGAGTGATCTGGTGGTTGCGGCTGAGAAGCACCTCTGTGATGAGGTCGTCCTCGGCGGCAAAGAGGAGGAGGTTGCCGCTTTGAGAGTGGAGCTGGCAAAGCAGGAGGCAGAGAGGGCGGTGTTGGAGAAGAAGCTTGAGGAAATTGAACGATCTATTATAGTTGAGCATAAAAGAGGTTTCCTCAAGGCAGCTCGCTAGGCAAGACTCCTTGCGCCGGGATTCGACTTCTCTGCCATGCACGTGGAGAAGGTCATCCGCTTCGGGAAGCTTGTAAAGGAAGATGACGTCGAGGACGGCTCCAGCGAGGATGCCTCTGCGTAGGCCAATTTTGTAATGGCCTGGTTTAACTTTCTTTGCTTTATTTTTCTTTTTTTTGAATTCAAGTTTGGAACTTTGAAAACTTTGCTGTATATATGTGTAGTTTTTGTCTATTCACTGTCGCGCTTTTCTTTACCTTTGCTTTTTGGCTTGATTTTTTTTTTGCTGTTTGCGCATTTTGAGACACACTCTCCCAAACTTAGAACCTTGCTTGTCCTCAAGCAAAAGGTAATTAATCTAGCAGATAACAAGCAATGCATGTGAGTCAAATTCTACATCCTAGTTCGCTTGTATTTTCTTTTCACAAGCATGAACCTAAGATGAATCTCCAGTCACAATTATTGCAATAGAACATGACAAGGTGCAAACAAAGGTTTCAAAAGAGATCAAAGAGCTGAGAAGAGTAATGACTATCTGTGTATACATCCTCACTAGGAAAGTGTTTCTCTCTATGCACACTAGTGTATCAGGGTGAGTGTTTCTCTCTAGTCTACTACTCACGCCACATAATTCAACTTTGCTCTTCGTTTCCAAATGAAACCAGTGGTAAAACAAATGCAGACACTTATCACAAGGTCTTTATTAGGGCAATTCTGGGTCAAGCAGGGTCAAGCATTAGCA